AGATCAGTTCGGAAGCAGAACCTTTTCATTGGGTTGTACAGGCATGGTAAACATAACGATATTATCGACTAAATAATGATTGTAATTATCTGCATGCAGTTGGAAAATATGAAAGAGCGCCAGTATACATGCAAATAGTACTGAAATGTTTTTCAGTTGTTAATCTAATGCAGTTAAGTCGGCATGCAGATAAGATAGACATTTTACGATCATTCGCAGTGTTTCCACCAAATTTTCCCCAGCTAAAAATGTTCTAGGTGAAAATAATATCAAAAATTCCTGACACGAACCAAATAAAATGGCAAATCCTGATTATAATTAACAACAAAACCAGCTAGCTGAAGATAAATATCATTAGATGTCTAGTACAAGCTAAGGATATAACATATAGTCCGTATTTAAATCGGACTATTCAATTTATTATGGCTTTCTTATTTTTATCAGCTCCAAGAAGTTGTTTAACGATGCAGTTAAAATTTCAAAATTAGCCAATTTTGTGCATGATTTTGCCAAAGATTCGTTTGCGACACTTTCAAATTGCAACAAACCTTCCTATATAGTTTCAGAAATACATCCTAAATATATATATATATATATATATATATATATATATATATATATATATATATATATATATATATATATATATATATATATATATATATATATAGCAGATTATATAATGATTATATTCTCTATAATAACATATATAGTATAAAGCTGTTATCCAATAGTCAATAGAAAACGACATGGAATTGAATAGGCGAGACATGTTAGGAATTTATGCATGGAGTCTTAATTGATTTTGCATATTGCAAAAGCTTGGTCTATTCAAAATTAGCCTAACGCTTTTTTAAGGAGGACATATATAATTATCTACGCATAGTAGACCTACTTTGGGGGCCAAGGTCGCCTAATGTCGCCTAATTTCGCCCATGTGCACCCAATTTTTTAACTTTGCCTGACAGTCTATTTGCTTAATGTCGCCTAATTTCGCCTAATGTCGCATAATCTCACACAAGCATGCCCAATTTTGCACTTTGAGTTTGTCGTCCATACTAGTCTATTCCTTATTTATTTGTTAGTTTCTTGCATGTTTTTTTCATAAATACATGTACACAAACACCAAGGGCATGTGCTGTTAGGGCACCATCTCTCACCAGTATTAATGAGGCTTGGTTATTTGGGGTTTATATGTATATGAATTACAACACATTATTCCAATGAGAATTACCTAAATTATGTTGTTAAGGCAGCCTTCTGGCCATCTTCTCCAATGTGTTTCTTTGTGAAACTCAGTCAAATTAGACAATCACACGCCATTAAATGTTGTATATGAAATCAAACTTAGATCTTATTATCAAAGACACATTCATGATAACTGGCGAGTGCAAAAGTACAGAATACCTCTCACTAGCCTAGTGAAGGACACTAGGTATCCTAAAGGCCGAAACGGTACCGTCGGTAGTTATATATATAGTTATATAATGTCTTTACTTATCTGCTTTATCGCCGTTTTTAAACTGTGAAATGCAGTGAGCGTGCGCATAAAGGCTTAGGCGTAATGTGTAGTATATAAAGTTCTGTAGTGTCCCACATCCACCACACTGTCTTCTATAGTATATATATTCTTGGTATGTGGAAGCTCATCATCGGTGCACTGTGCTGATGAGCCCCAAAAAGGGCGAAACAGCTGTCCACAGTTGCCGTTGTTTGAGCTTTCCTTGAAGGGCGCTACAATGTCTTTACTTATGTGCTTTATCGCCGCTTTTAAACTGTGAAATGCAGTGAGCGTGCGCATAAAGGCTTAGGCATAATGTGTAGTATATATATATATATATATATATATATATATATATATATATATATATATATATATATATATATATATATATATATATATATATATATATATATATAATCGGTCACGAGTACTAAATACTGCCCGGAGCGCCCGGGGACACCCAGGAGTGCCTGGGGACGCCCTGAAGCGCACAGGAGCGTGTGAGAACGCCCGGGGATATATAAGATATAGTATAAATCAGTGCACGATCCTTTTTGAGTCTCTATGAGGCATTATATCAATGAACTTGGAATTCATCTCGGGTAAGTTGCTTTTTGGCCCTGGAATTTCTCAGAAGTAAACAAATCATCCTGGCTATGGAATTCTTCAGGTGTTGGGTATTTTCAATGAGATTTCATCAGGGGTCAAAGGCAAAAATTGAAATTCTATAGGTAAATGCTGAATTTTAAAGTGGTAACTGCTATTAACAGGAAACCATCATGGGACATACTTTGTTACAGTAGGAATTTTTCAGGGGTACATATAGTAAAACCTTGAACTCGATAGGGGGGTTACCACCGGTACATGTTACTGTATTATGGAATAGTCCTATCTATAAATAAAGAAAGTCATCTATAGTATGTTCAAAATACGACTTTGTAGTTTGTAAAATAAAAGTACTTACTTTTCGACGAAGCTACGATGATCGACATCTCATAATTAGGTATCATCGCAAAAGATACAGAGCAATGAACGCACCACAGAAAGATCTACGGTACAGGTTGTTTATATAAAATGTCGCCAAGGCCCGCCATAATCAATTATTATGTTTCCTTACACGAAGTAATACAAGTTAGTAGCTAAACCAGACGTGCCATGGTATTGCGGGTTCAAATCCCAGCCGAACAAGAACAGGTCTCTGAGGTTTTGGATAAAAGGAATTTAATTATTTATTAGTTCAGTTTATAAAGTAAAGGAACTGTCATCTAATTTTGGTAAAGTAAGTCAGTATATTTATACAAATGTATATGGATTAAACTTTTTTCTATCTGTTTGCTTTGAAAGTAAATTCTATTTCTTATTGAAACTATAAGATTTAAGTTATCACTATTTGAGATGTTTAAAATGTTTAATGTTTAAAATGTTTAAATACTTTATTGGGTAAATATAATAATTATTTACAAAAGACGTACTAATACTATGCATGTGAAGAACAAATATTACCCAAATGGAGATATTTGTTTGCCAGTTTGGTGGGTTAGATTTCAAGCATGGTTATGGTGGTACATGATTTACATGGTACACGTTTATGATAGCTAGCTAGCTGACAATTTATTTACCTTAAATGCCAATTCTTTCACTTCCATCACTGCATACCACAGTCCATAAACAGCTAGGTTTTAAAACTCTATGAGGTGTTTACACCAGTCAATTTAATGAGAAGTCAGAGTTCCATGATACTGTAAATGTACCATGCACTGCATGGGCATGTATGTGTACTACGGTATAAACTTTGAGTAAATTGTCAGGCTAGCAGTTAGATAAATGTTCCTTGTTATTTTTGCTATTTGTAATAAACTAATTGTGTTCTTTGCCACAGGAACCAATTTTTGATAACTAAATTATATTTTGATATTTACTGTTGTATTTTCTATGTAGATGCATAATTTGTGAATTATAATATTTGACGTTATCTGGATATTACTGTTCAGTTTTGTCCAATGTTGCCTAATGTCGCCCAATGTCGCTCAATGTCGCCCAGTTTCGCCCAGCATCGCACACTACTTTTCTTTGAAAATTGCCAATGTCGCCTAATGTCGCACAATGTTGCACATAATAACGGCGACCTTGGCCCCCAAAGTAGGCCTAGTACTTTGGGGTAAGGAATACACGACAGCCACTGCTAAATCCTTGTAGTTAATAAGACAATATCGCCGGCAACACTGTGGGTTGACCTGTAAATATATTTCGGTGAGTATGCCACATTATATCGATCGGCTTGTTAAATTGTCGTGTTTCCTGGGGCCGGTTGTATCAAGCACGTTTTCTTTAAACGGTGGATAAGTCAAAATTGAATAACTCTCTTTTCTCTTTTGTGAATCGGTCAACTTAAATATTCTGCACTGAATATGTAGTTGTAAAAAATATCGTTCTATTAATATTCAAAACTTTTAGTTTGGTTGTTGCATGAATCTTTAGACTTGTTTTCTATTTTTGAGCTTAACCACCGTTTAAGCTAAATGGGCTTGATACAACCGGCCCCAATACAATATTTTAACTGATACTGATTATTTACCGTCCTGCGAGCCAGGGACATGCGCAAATGCTGCCAAAGAATAGGAAGACCTCCACGTGACATGATATGGCTGAAATGATTTGCCACCATGTTTATGAATTTTCAATGAGGATTTTAAGTTATTTTACAGTTGTTTATTATTTTGGTAATCGGATATAAATGCGTTGGACAGCCAAAAATGGAAATTAAAACACAGTTACCTATTTTCTTTTAAAGCATAACGTTATGAATTGTTATATATCCTATATCCTTTCCAAAATTTTCATAACAAAAAATAATTCTTAAATGTACATTAACACATGTATGGTTTAAAACATTTCCCTTTCCACAGATTAACTTGGCCTTAACGCCCCCCCCCCTCCCCCCCTCTCCCCACCCCACCCACCGATTACGTTTCACGCTTGGAGTTATACCACTACAAATATAAATTGTTGTCGGGACAAATCCAAGGATCGCAAAGAACGTTTCTGTTAAAATGCGCCTTTTTGCTCAATGGCCAACTTAGTAACATTTCATGACCTCATTGCTGAGGGTAGAAATGAATTAAGATCGCGACATCTTAAATTAGCTATATTACTATATATAGAAACATACATGCAGAAATCCCTCGTTCTCCCTGTAATCCACTTATTTCCCAAACAAGAAGTAATTAAGTGTAAATAATTGTTGTGTGTGACAAATTTATTATTAAAAGTGGTAACACGATCTTGGTAACACAATACAATACAATACAATACAATACAATAACATTATTTTATTTTACGTGATCAAAATACACTTAACTACAGAAAAAGCTAATTTACAGGTATTGCCACGATTTGCATATATTTGCATATATTTTTAAGTTGAAAACAAAGCGACCTGAAATTATCAATTTTAATCTGAAAATTAAATGATCAATTTCTTTCTTAGTTCGTGGTAATGGAAGTAAAGAACCTAATTCGTGCTACTGTTGTGTTATTCCTATCAGACTGTACAGTCCGGGCTGCAATTCCATCATTCAACGATTTCGATCGAGCACGTGAAGAAATCATGAAACGCCCAGAAATTGTGTACGACAGCACATTTTGCAGTGAGATCGCTAGTGGAGAGGACAAGGTTGCTTGTCGTCTGAAAGATATTCCATCTATTGGATTTTTGGTCTGCAAGAAGGCAAAGTATGACGAAACACCGTGCAAGGATATTATTGAAACCGAGTTAGCTAACTTTTTGAAACTACGCAGTGAAAATATCAACGTTGTCACAGTAGACAAGAAACCTGTTGAAAATATAAGATGTGGAGCTACGACAGACCAAATGTGTAGTGGATTTTTGGAAGCATGGATTGATCAAACATATGGAGAGTTTGGGCATGTTCGCGATCATATAGCTGAAGGCACAGTAGGTCAGCTGGTTGAAAAAATCATAAAATTTACCAGGAAAGATGAACTGCAAACCACCACAAGCGATCTTAGAAAGATCGTGGAATATATGCAGCCATCCTCAAAAGAGCATAACTACAAACAGATATGTGATCTGCAAGGTTTCTTTCTAATAGATGGAGGGTTTCTAATTAATGATACACCAGAAATTAATGAGAACATTGCTACAAAAGGCGTGTGTTGGGACGGAGAACCTACAACGGAGCAAGTTCTTTCGGGTTTGAAGAACATGATTGACGCGCTCAATCACGCAATGCATTAGTTGGATTGGCAAGTTGAATATTTCATTTTTTTATTATTGTGATGCGTTTAGAGAATATTTTAACATTGAAACGCAATCTTTATAGTTTTTCTAGAATATAGGTATAAAAGTTTGTGTATAGCTTCTATGAGCCGTGCATAACAATCAATTCTTTCACAAGCGTACAAACGGTAAGCTGGAAGCGAAGGCATTTAAGAGGCAGTCCGTGTAAAAACCGACCACTCGAATTTCTTAAGATTACAGATTTCCTTCAAACTTTCTGTGTGGAAGAAGTCATTCATAAAATGAACAAAAAACGTTGTCTTGGAAATTGTAGTCAGTTTTAAAAATTTTTTCGCAATTATTTTCGGACGCGTTCGAAAACAAGTTAAAAAGTTAATTACGCAAGTGATATTTGAGCTTTTTTTATATCTCACAGTTCATCTCGCGCTTTTATTCTAACTTCTTGAAACTTACATATTTTATTATTTCCTGCCTAGGTATAAACCTAAACTAAAAATTATCCTGATCACTTGAAGCAAA